AGGCATCCAATCCAATCCCTCTTCCATCCTGAACTCTTTACTAAGGAGTCTTAAAGGTGTTCAATTTGATAGCAATTTGATCCTTACTAGTTCCTTGCAGAAGGATTAACTTCCCTCTTAGGAATTAAGTGCACACAACTTGCTTTAGAAAGTGTGAATTCCCTTGTGGTTACAGACCCTCGTGGGGCGGGGGCTAAAGGCCGGGCCCCCAAGGTAATGATTCGCCTGTATAGGCGATAAGCAAGAGTGTTTCCCTTCTACAATGAAGTAATGTAACTACCCCCTGGTTCTACCGTAAGGTAGTAAAGAGAGAGGATAAAAAGCAAGAAATTGGACTATCAAATTACACTACTATCAGAAACTTCATGAATGATTGAATCATTCATCTCTTACTTTCCGCTTACTAAACACGCTACTCCCCGGTTACTAAAGACGGTAGTAAAGAGAGACCCTGTTCCACTAGTCAAGAGAAGAGACACGAGAGTTAAATTCCTAAAGATTAGGAAGGCAGAACTTCAGACTCCTGGATGAAACTACGGCAAATTAAGAGGGGCCCTAAAGGCCCGGGCCTCCGTAGCCCCTGCCTTAAAATAACCCCCCCTCTACCTATCCTCTTCACCAACCCTTATCCGCTGTTTACTTAGCCACCTCCTCTTGGATAGCTAACCTTTTCCTAAAGGTCGATTACATGAGGATTGTTTTGCCTCATGCAACTACCAGGGGGGTTTAGCCCCCCGCCGGAAGCCGCAAGTACCAACCATAACCAAGGTCGTCCCTCCCCTCATGCCAATGGGCTTTTCTTATATGAGCTTAGTAATGAAGGGTTTAACCTTGTTAACTCCTTTCCTAATTCGCATCAGGCCGGTGAATTTCTTGGTGTTACCTTTCACTGTAAATGTAACCGCATGAAAAGGGGGAGTATTTGGTTGTTTTCCACGGTATTTCTTACCGTGTATCCTTCGGGGCTAAACCGGGGCTTATATGAACCCCGGGGTTGACGCCCCCCCGCCTTTAGGCCCCCCCCCTCGTATTCTCTCTCCTATCATCGTGAGCTTCTTTCTCCGATTCTAATTCCTCTATGAATTTGGGGGGCCCCCCGGGCTTTAGCCCCCGGCTTCAGAGAAGCCCGCCCTTTACCCCTAGAAAGAATCTCAAATTCCCCCCTTAAGTATTCCCTTAGGTTCTTAAGAAGAGAAGGAGAAGAGACCCAGGAAGGCCCTTTCGTCTAGAAGGTCAAGGACAAGGCAACTTCACTGCCTAAACGCCAGTTCAAACCTGGCAAGGGTCATCCCCAGGTTTCACCTGCTATCCTGCTTCGGATCGGATCGGATCGGATGATGAGGTAATCACTGGAGCGACAGGTAACACTTGGATCGAACCATGAGTCCCAGTCTGTTACTACAAAGAATCTACGGGTTATAGAACTTTAGACTCGGGGGGGGGCTAAAGCCCCCGGGTAAAGCGGGCTCCTTTGGTTCCCCCTAAACCCCCCGGCCCTTTAGGGCCTAGAAGGAAGACCATATCAGATCGAGGCGGATGTGCAGGGGTCATTGGGCCTACCTGACCGGCGGGGGCTTATCTGAACCCCCCGCCCTAAGGTGCCCCCTAAAACCTAACTCCCACTGAACTAATACGAGGGCACATCTGATACAAACCCTCTGCCTGGTGTATTGATTCTTCTTCGAGAACTCTAATGCCAAATGACTTCTGTCAGTGTACCTAAGATTAAGATACGCAGACAACATAATAATGGGATTCTCAAGCAATACCCCTGATTCTACCATCCTTAGGGATCGAAGACAAACAAGGGATCGAAGGATCAACTGCCCCAGGATGTAGTCTACATCCCAATAAAGAAACTATAGGAACAAG